TCATTATGTATTATTTGTATTGTATTTGTATTTATTAGTTTTGTATGCCGCCCGCTCTCGGAAGACTCCGGGCGGCCTACAATAAAAGGGAAGGGGAGCATATAAGACAACGCAACAATTTAAAAGTTCAGCAACATTCATAACTTTATATATATATAAATATTAGTTCAAAAGTTTTATTTCTTTTAAAACAAACATTTCATCATTCCTCAATCAGTAAGACATCGAAGTACAATTTTTTGTGTGTCAAAATAGTTCTAGTTTACCACCAAATTCTTGTCTAGCCTAGTGTATACCCCAGCAACATTCATAACTTTATATATATATAAATATTAGTTCAAAAGTTTTATTTCTTTTAAAACAAACATTTCATCATTCCTCAATCAGTAAGACATCGAAGTACAATTTTTTGTGTGTCAAAATAGTTCTAGTTTACCACCAAATTCTTGTCTAGCCTAGTGTATACCCCAGCAACATTCATAACTTAAAGTGGGGCTGGATACTTCAACAGCCCCAGGCCTGCCGGAACAGCCAGGTCTTTAATAGCTTTACGGAAGGCTATTTATTATGTATAAATGCAATATCAGAAATCCTTAGTCTTGCCCTGTTGGCTTTTAAAAAAAAAAAAACCTAAGCAGAACAATTGATCCGCTCTACATTTGGACAATCTGTTATATAGGCAATATCACCAAGAAGTAGAAGATTTTGTATCGAGTTTAGTTCAGAAATATGAGGAGCAACGGAGGAGTGAATTGGACAAGGCCTGCTTCAATGTGAAGCCACAGGTATCTCTCTCTCTCGATTCATTCGTCATGTGATGAAAGATAACTGGTATTGCTGTCTTAGAGATCTCTTGTTTCTCTTCATGGGGTTGGTCCATCACAAACCCCTCACCGTGCTGATACTTCTGAACTTGATTGAAGAACATTGATGTAACTTTGCAAACTTGATTTTCATTTTGTTAGCCTTCTAGCTTTGTCCTGGAAGAGGATCATAAGATAACAAGCTCAAACGTGTCGAAAAAAATCAAAGAGGCTTTTAGCGTAAGTTCCTTTTTGTTTCTGTGCTATGAGCGGTTTGAGTTTTTCTAGTTTATGGCGTTAAGAAATGATTGATAACTGGTAAAAATGTTAATTTCGTTTTTTGTTGTTTTTTTTTAGTCCTGTAACTTTGTTTTTCCATTAATTGGTTGAACGTATAATTACTACTTGGGAATCTCCATATTCTCAAGTCATTTATTTAATGTACTTAATTATGTCAGAACGTAATATTTATGAAATATTTAAGTACATTTTCAGTGTGATGTTTTAGTCTGATTAAAATACTGACACTTTTTGACTCTTTCTCCAGGTTGTAGGAAGTGTTCTCTATTTTACCAATTTTTGTCTTGATAAACTGGGGCAGCCTATATTAAATGAAAATCCTCAGCTCACAGATGGATGGGAAATACCCAAGTATCCTATTTAGTTAACTCTCGTTCCCTCTTCCTATTAAGCCTTGCTACTTAACGCAATACGTCTAAAACAGATTGGGTTCCGTTTATATATCTTCCAACATCTTAGTGCCCTAAGTCTCTCATCATTTGTTTGAATGAAAAGTTCCCAAGGGGGGGTGGGGGGATTTCCTGCTCTGATTTAAAATGCTGTCGCACCTTAACGTTGCATTTCTGGAAAGGCAGGGGACTGGCATTAACAGTATAACAAGAGTTGGAAGGGACCTTGGAGGTCTTCTAGTCCAACCCCCTGCTCAGGCAGGGAGCCTAGACCATTTCAGACAAAGGATTGTCCGATCTCTTCTTAAGAACTTCCAGTGTTGGAGTACTCACAACTTCTGGAGGGAGGGAGTTCCACTGATATAATTGTTCTCACGATCAGGAAATTTCTCCTTAGTTCTAAGTTGCTTCTCTCCTTGATTGGTTTCCATCCGTTGATGAGCCATTGATCGGATAAAATTAGCAGAGAAAAGAAACATCCAGTCTTGAGACTTGCTAAGCTTTCAGTCAAGCTTTTTATCGTAATGTAGCTGATAATAATTCTGATCGTGGCCCTGTTCTGAAAAGCAATTAGTAGTGCCTTTTGGGTGGTGGCTAATATTATCTAGGCATACAAACCCCTAGGATTGCATTTTGCTTGATACGATGGCAATTCCTTATTGAATTCTTAAGATACCAGCAAGTTTTCACGCAGATTCTTTCTCTAGAAGGACAAGAGATACAAGTAAAGTCTAAAAGGTTTGTATTTCTTTAAATCTACAAATGTTTCTGGTTTTATTTTTAAAAGTATGTCTTGTGATAGGTTAGGAAT